GGTGCATGGCTGGTTCATTCTCACGCCCATTGATCCTTGTATGCTGCACTTCATGCCACACTGCTGCTGCTGCTGCTGCAGCAGCATTTTCACATCCATTTCTCTTCTGTACTTGATTGCTGTGGCACTTTGTCTGCCCTGGGCTGCTGCCGCTCCCCTCCTGGTTGCCCGCACGTAATAACTGTTCTCTTCACGCCCCTCAGTAAATCAGTTATCTTCCCCTCCAGATGGGTTCTTGTCCCCTCTGATCAGCTAATCAATTATATGGTGGCACGGTTGTGCAGTGCCTTTTTGACGCTAAGCTACAGCCTTCCCTTCGTGCTCCTTGCAACTTCCAAAGTGGCACTGGCACCACTCAACAGATTTAGCTGCAAAAGTGTTTCTTCCCTGTCAGGTTCCTCAGTGATCTGTGGGAACTTTCTGTGACTCCTGTCAGTTTTAATCCCTCCCTGGAGAGTAACAATCAATCCCACTATTTCTGAGGCCCCAGGCTCAGGTCGTTTTGTTTGTTGGTTAAGGATTTTTGTTAGTGAAAAAACCTCTCCCAATTATTTTCATGTTTTGTCGTGATCTTGACCCAAAGTATTTCTTAAATGCTGGAAGTGTTTAGCATCTGCTGGTGTGCTGAATAGGTGGAAGACGTCTTTGTTTAAACTCTTTGGCTCTTTGACTGCTACACAACAGTGTGAAGGAGAGTGTATTTGCTCCGTGGGACCAGAGCATCAAGTGCCTTCTATTATATCTGCTCCAGAGGATTTCCTGGGAAGTGTTCAGCCTTCATTTCTGTCTGTAAGGAAATCCTCTTATCTGGGCAGAGCAATAAATAGTGCTGCCTCCTGTAATAGAAGCAGAAAAACACATTCTTCATGTTGCCTTTTTTAAAAATGTGGGGCTTAAAATATTATGGCTGGAATGATTCTTCTATAATAAATTCACATAATAGCATGCAATGTATGCATTTAAGTAGCTGAACAGAGGTAAAGAGAGGGGGAGATGGTGTGTTAAAAGAGGGTTTAGCATGCATTTAGTAATGACAACAGTAAATAATCCTACAGGTTTACAGACCTAATCCCCAGTGTCTGATTGTAGCCCCTGTGTCTACCAGAGTCGGTTGGAAAGACGCTAAAAGGCTGTAAAGAAAGGGCTTTTGGGGGTTTTTATTTGTAAATATTGGGGGAGCTTGCTTGGTAACTGATAGTTTCAAGTGGCATGAATGTAGTTGATTTAGGACCTCGATGGAAAGCTGTAGAAGTGGCTGTCCTGCTCTGCTTTGCCACGGAGATGTTAGGTGAGGGTGCAGCAGGCTGCTCCTGGCTGCCTAGCTCTGCACTCTTCCCAGTCATACATTCCTTTAACAACTGGCTTGGGGGGGTGTTTTAACACCCAGCTTACTTTTTCCTGTGCCCTGCAGTAAAGCAGTTGTTTTTCTTAGCAGAAGAAATCCATGTCTAAGAGCCATGCCACGTGACGCTACTGCTTTTATAAATAAGCTTTTAAGAGGTTGGACCAGATGTTGGCCACATCTGTGTTTTTATTTCATCAAACATTTTATTCCGGCCCTTTTATTAAAAGAAAAAATGATCATTTAGAAATTGCTTTGAAAAGTTTAGCAGCTGGGAAGATCTTTCTGGTATACAAAAAAAGCAAGGGGTTTACTTTCTGTGTGCTGGAGTGAGCCATGTAACATCAAGCAGACAGGTATTTACGGCTGGGAGGTCTACTCATGTTGGAAATTATTGCCATGGAAATTTTCACATCAAAATGGATGTATTCCATTTTGAATTTGCATTCTGTAACAAAACACCCTTTTTTTTTTTTTTTCAGTGAAAGCATTAAACTAGGGATTCTGAAAAGCCCTTGCATTTAATGAATACCTATTGCCTTGGCAGGAAAAAGGACGACTTGTGGGCAGAGGGATATCCTGCAATTACTCCCTCTACTGCTGTTATGGGGTCTAAGAAATGCTTATTACATATAACTTGCTTCTGGATTCTTCGCTGCAATTTAACAGTTGGAGAATGAGCTTTCCATCCCCATTGCTAATTGATCCAATGAGAAAAACTGGCACCTAATTCAGTAACAACTTATATTTAAAATGACATGTGAAATTGTCCATGGTGCCTGAAATTACATCATTTTCAGTCTGGCATATTAGGGCTGTATAAGTGAACAGGCACCTACTGTACTATGACATACTAAATTTTAAATCTCTGATCCAAAAATATAGCAGAGTACATGAGTGAGGTGTTTAATGATGAATAAAAGCAGTGGCAGCTTGATTTCAGTGGGATTTCTTTTATTGTTCTTAAGATGCTGTGGCGGTTTTTACAACAAATAAATTTGGGATGCAATTTCATGTAAAGTTGAGCAGTGACATGTGTATTTCTGTTGCCACTTCCAATTTTTTATTTTCTAGCCTAGAATTTTCAGTAGTTACTGGTGATTATTGAGGATGGCTCCCTTTTTCTGTGTCCCCAATTCCAAGTCTGTGTAGATACTCAATATTTAAATTTGTCTGGTGCAGTGAATATGGAAAGAGAAAAGAACCCTTTATTTGCTCAGATAAACCAAATTGAAAGTTGGGGGTGTTTTTTTTTTCCCCAAAACTTTGAGGAAACAAAAGGTAGATAATACAAAGAAGGGGGGAGGTCATCCTCCCTTCTGTCCTACAACTTGGTGGTTAAAGCGCTTTACTCAGAATATGGGAGACACTGTGCAAGACCCATTTCTTCACAAATAGCTTACGACCTAGAAGACAGGTTATTTTGGCCTGGGCACACTCTTGCACTCTGCTGTTGAGCTATCTTAGTTTGTGTAATGAAGCATTTCTTGGACCCAGGTGGGCAGTCTCCTGGGAAGCTGTCTCGGACATTAGATGACAGTGTTTACTCCTTTTCTTGGTGAATATTTAAGCATTTTGCTTACTGGAAATTTCTATTTCTATTCCAGCAGAAGATACATTGTAGTGCAGAATATGCTAGTCTTCCGGGGTGATACAGCATACAGTGATTCCTCTCTATGCTTTGCTAAAAAATTCCAGTGAGTTGTATTAAAGAGGTAGCAAACCGCTGGGACGTATTGTGTCACCTTGCTTTTCCTCTCCAGTCTTGAGCTAGGGTGCGCTTTGCCATGTCCTTGGGTTGCACCCCTGCCTGCCTGGCAGGGTGCCTGCAGGAGGAGATGGTGGTCCTGGTGCAGAAAGTTCTGCTCTTATGTCACTGTACAGAGATCAGACCAGAATTAAAGCATATGTACTGAATATATATAGTAGTTATAAAATCTTTCATACTTTTAAAGTATCTTGGGGGCAAAAACGTTGTAAAATAGATCTGGTGCCTGGGACTAAAGCACAGTTAATTTTTAAACCTAACGGCAATAAGAAATGTTCCTTAAGGCATATTAAGTCATATTAGTTTAACATTATCTGAACTGGTAGAATTGATATTATGAAACAATATCAGAAAAAAATCAAGTCATAGTGTTACACTGTTCCTTGTGACAGGAATGTGTGAAACCCATTTCACATATGACTTGGCATGGAAAGTTCAAAACTTTCTGTTGGTTGTTTAAAGTGGTTTTTGAAAAGACATCTGATACTGATAAACGTCTGTTGAGTTGAGCAGAACCATCTCAAGAATCACAGCCTATATTCCTAATGAGGTTTTGGTTGGATTCCTGACCCTGTGATTCCATGTACTTTAGGCAACTGGTTTAAATGCCAGAGTTTTGCAAAGAAAAGCATCATTTGGGTTTTCTGGGAATACTCATAATTCCTGCCTTTGCTTGTCTTCCACCGTTTGGTTGCCATAACCTGATGCTGGATCAAAGAGCTGCAGCTGCCTTCCTCTGCCACTGATCCAGAGCTGTACTGCTCGGGACTTCTGCTCCTTGGGAAAGCACCATACTGGGCAATCAAACCATTCTTGGTTTGTGGGGAGCCACATCCTCAGGACTGGAGAGCATGAACTGTGAAGATGCCTTGCTGTTCTTTTGGTTTGAATTCATTACTGGAGATTGTTGAAAGGGAATTTATTTTTTCTGCAGGTAAACTCGTTAGGTCATCTCTTGTCTAGTCATGATTAGATGTAATGGAGAAGACCAAGAAAACTGCTTGATTCCCAAGTATAAATCTGAGTGAATAATTTGTTTTCTTCTCTACCTGGACTACATTAATACTGTATTACTGTTGTATGTTAAGGTGATGTGGAAAATCAGGTTTTGCTGCTGTATACTGTGCCAGTCCCAAATGAGGCCTAAGTTCTGCATTGTTAATGCTTTTTAATGCACAGAATATTAAAAAAATTGTTTTAAGAAGATGTCTTAATAAATGCAAAACTAGAAAAATGAAAGTGAAAATGTAATTACAGAAAGGAATTATTGTTTCACATTTATCTAGACCTTTCCGTAGCTTGTAAAAGTTAGTTTAAAATTTGGAAATGTTTTAATACTTTCCATTTTCCGGATAGAAAAACTAATACACATCTTTTTACAGAACTGGTGTGAGCTAAGTGGTTCAAATGATGATAGATCAGAATTAAGACGAAAGCTGTGGTACGACAGTTGGCATGATATGTTATTTGCTGGTTCATGCTGCTTCCTTGAAAACAGAAAATATTTTCTAAGTCATAATTTACAGATAAATTATCGACTTATAGGCTCAGACAGATGAAAGAAAAACAGTCATCTTTTAAAGATGGTTTCCCCAGCTTCCTGCTGAACATTTGTGCCTGTAAATTAAAACGGGGTAAAAAGGCAAGTCGAAGTGTCTGACAGATCTTTAGTACTGAAGAAGAACATGCCGATTCCTGAATTTTAAATGGATTTGTGTGTGCCTGTACCCCAGACTGAAAATACTCATCAGCAAATTAAAACTCCTGAATTAATGCAGAAGGATGCAAATATCTGAAGGGCAACCGTTAAGTGTTACTTCACCACAGAACTTGAATTGTGATAGATTTTGAACAAATATCTGCCTGATTAAAATGTGTTCTTTCCTGTAGGTGAGAATGCAGGAGATGGTGAATTAGATTTGAGCGGGATCGACGACAGTGAAATAGATCGGGTAAGGTGCGCTCTTACCCTAGGTGTCTCTGGGGTTGGATATTCGAGAAAGACAAAATGATTCTTACCTGGTTTATCTTCTACCCTCACTGTCTCTTCACTCTGATCTATAGGGAGGTACAAGTGATTTCAGTGATCTGAGATCGAAACTAATGTTCACACAAGCCTGTGATGTTTGTGTTCCTTGCCAAAGTTATGTTTTAGAATATCCTTTATTCTGAAGAAGGACTTTCAGAAGTCTTTGGTGGAGCTCTAAATTCATTATTTAATTAAGATAGATTCAGTATAGAAGGCTGCTATGGAAACCAAACTGTAAGACCAGGATGTACAGCTTCTGTGTTCTTTTAAAGATTTCTGTAACATTTTCTGGTTTTATTATTATGTGTGTGGCAGTGAAAGATACCCTTTACCTCATAGCCTGAATGTAACAGACAGACGTGTGGGAAATGGCTTGTTGAAGGCCGCAGGACAGGTCACTGCTTGAACATGCAACAAAGTCTGGCTCTCCTGACACTCAGCCTAATGCCCTCTCCAGCTGCCACCCTGTTTTTAAAGTGTAATTTGGACAGATAATGCCAAAAAACTCGTTTTGGGGTACAAAGTCATTGAGAGTGGTGATGTTGCATAGGGGTTACTGGTCTGTGGAACATTGTTGGCAGTGCGTGAATGCTCAGCTTCATTTCAGTTGTGAAGCAGATTTTGCTAGGCTGGAAGTTAGGAAGGGTCTTGTGAATTGAGCAGATGTAGTATGGAGGGAGCAGGGAGGCTGAAGTTTTTCAGTATAGCTGGTCCCTAATTTAAACAGTCACAGGGGAAGAGCAAGCACATGTCTTTCTCCATCCTAGGCTCTGTGATGAGCCGTAACTGATTTTAAGACCTCATGTTCATTTCTGTGGCAGTAGACTGTAATGTTGTGAACGTGAGATTGTGGACTCTAAAAGCTTAAGAAGGATGAGTAACTGTGCTAAGATAAAGTGAGCTTTACTATTGTGGCTTCTCATAGAAGCAGATGAAAGAGTGAAAATATTGGTCTGATAAACCAGGACTTGCATAGCTGTTTGCTTGCCTCACTTGTCCTCAGAGGAAGGACTCCTCCCTGTATTAGCTTCATTTGACTGGAAATATTTTTCTCATAAAATCCTATATGTACATTTTACTTTGGAGTATATCTCATGTTCAAACCCATAAGATTGAGAAATCTCAAATTGATTTGCAAGTCTTGGGTCTGCTGCTTAAAAATAAAGTCAGGTTCATGAAGGATGACCCAATTTGTCTTCTCTGTTCTGAAGAAGTTCTTCACTGCCAGACAGCATTGGCTGTAGAGAACTTTTGTTTCACACAGTTGTGCTAAATGTTAGGTTTAATTTTGCAGTTAAGCAGTTGGGAGGAGATCTGTCTACCAACCTGCCAGCCTGCCTGCTACTTACCTGTTTATTTCTGTAATTCGTCTGAATAAGTCTAGATGAGTTTTACAGCTCCATACATACTAATGAGGTTACCAAGACTAAGTGAAGTTAACTGTAAAAAGCCTAGGTATGGTTACTGAACCCAATGCTCTAAAATCTAGGGGACTAAACCTACAGCAATCTAAGCAGGCTTCTTTCACACAGGTGTGCCCATTGCGCTAATAACCTCAATAACTGTGCCTAAACCGTCACAGAAACCTATCCAGAAGACACATGTTTCTGTTTTGGTGGCACAGGGCAATGGTTCCCGTACTGTTTTGAATTACAGACCACCATCAACACACAGAATTATTTGCAGACGACCACATTGTCATGGTGCCCTCTAAAGTCATCTGAAAAAGATCATAAACTTGGGATCATTTTGGGTTAATTACAGATCATGTACAATGACTCCTGGATGGTTTTCGGTCACCCCATCTACTTTGGAAACCAAGAACTGTTTTTTGAACACCAGTTTTAGAATTTACTAGAAATGCTCTGTGATTGTCACATCTCAGCCATGTTTTATTAATGTATTTTTAAAAACAGAATGTGAATTGACCTTGACAGTGGTTTTTCAGTCGAGTTTTGCTTTACGGTTTTCAAGTTTATTTCTGAAAGTAGATAAACTTGTTTTGTCTTTTAGTATATACTTAACGAAACAGAAGCTCAGATAAAAGCAGAGCTGTGGATGAAAGAAAATGCAGATTATTTGAAGGAACAAAAAGGTAAGTATTAGGACTGAAATTCTCCTTTTGGCTAGTGTTACTGAAATATTCAGTCTACATAATCTTCATACTGGTTACCCTTTTGTCATCTTTCAGAAAAGGAAGCAAGAATAGCAAAAGAAAAAGAACTTGGGATTTATAAGGAACACAAGGTATTAAACTGTGTGCTAATTGTGTCTGTTTGAAAATGTCCTGGAAATTCATTACAATTGCTGATCAGTTCCATGTAGGATATACGGGCATATTGGTACAGGTCACCACTAAATGAGCTAAAGCTATTGTGTATCTACCTGTAATTGAATTATGAGGCTATAATTTTTCAGGTGGTGAGTCAAACTAATGCCCAAACTTTTATTTTAAATTATTATTATGAGAAAATTCTGTGCATGGCAAAGTCAGAGCCAGCTCTTTGCATTTGTGATTGCTGTCCTAATTGCTTGCTTATTTAAATACAGGTTTTAAGACATGCCTAATTTTTTTTAACATGTGCGTGGGGAATTTGTTTGTACTTGCCATAACTTCAGTAGCTTTCTTTGCTCTTACAATAATGATTTCTCTATGAAGAACTGAACAGATCCTTGTTACAGTCACTTGAAGGAGTATTTTGTTCTACCTTTCATAAAGAATGCGACAGTTATGTTAACAAATGGCATGTACTGTCTCCAAGTTTAGCAGTTAAAGCAGCCTAATTGGCTGTATATTCACAATTTATGGCATTAGTATTTTGTGTAACAGAGCAAGTGACAAGTCAAATCTTCCACATGCAACTAAAATCCGTTAGTGCATATATCCATAAAATCCATGTTAGTGCAATCATTCTATGATCCTCTTCTTTTTTTTTTTCTGACTAACGCAAAAGGTAGAGTTTCCTACTTCCCCTAGGTATTTCAACAATAAAAACAAAACCAGACAATGAAGCACTGTTTTATGCTTCAGAGTTTCTCATTCATCCTGTGCTTACGCAAACATGGCAGTCTACCAGCAATTTTCAAAATTGTAGAACTCATTGACACCACCAAGTAACCCAAACACCCACTTTTTTGTTCGGACAACACAGGAGTTTTTCTCAGACTCTGTATTGTTTCTGACAGCTGGAGTAGAGCTTGATTAATATTGTGTTTTCCAATTGCAAGGTAGCACTTGACCCACGTAGGTAAACAGAGGGGCTGTTATCCATTACAAAATAAATCTCCTGCAGAACTTGGTGTTAAAACCTGCCTTTGAAAAGGAAATGCCAAATGGAAACAGAGGTTCTGGGCCTTTTTTCGTAACTACCCAGGGGTAGTAGTTATGGGACATGGGTAGAAATGTTCTCTTGTGTCATTTCTCTGTTATTTGGCTCTGCACATCATCAACCTCCACAGCACAGGGCTTGTAGCATTTGCCTGGGAAGGACAGTTGACAGGTTACGTTGCTGCTGCATGTGTGTCTGCAGCTTCCTGCTTTCTGTCCATCAGAAACTAGTCTACACATAGAAAGCTGCTGGTAATATTCTTGGCCTTTTTCAGTGTGGAGGGGGAGCTGAGTAGATGCTCTTCCAGGCCATATTCAGACTGGATGTAAAAATACTAAGTTTTGCAGTTTTGGTACAGAGTTGTCAGTGTTTAGGGGAGCCATGACCCAGCTGGACTGTAACGGCAATTTTAGCAGGGGAATTCCTTTATTTTCACTCTGGGTGATGCTACAGGGTCCCTGTTCCTTTTTTTTTTTTTTTTTTGCGCCTGAGAAATGGCCCATGTTTCTTCTCTGGCAGTATTACAAATACTAATTAAAGAATTGGTAATAAACTGTGGGCATTTGGCAAAAAGAAAACACTTATCTCTTGGAATTAAAAGACCTTTTGGTGCCATTGAGTGGCTGGAGAGGAAGTGCTGACTTAGCCTGTCTGCATTGCCTGCATCCCCGCATCAGCAGCATCTGAGCCAGGGCTGCTGAACTGCAGCTTGCCCTTCTGCTTCATGGAAACTTTGTTTGTATTTACATCACTAATTTTATATTTTAATTAAGCCAAAGAAATCTGCAAAGAAGCGGGAGCCAATTCAAGCCAGCACAGCAGGAGAGGCAATTGAAAAGATGTTAGAACAGAAGAAAATCTCAAGTAAAATTAATTATAATGTGCTAAGGGACCTGAACAGCAAAGGAAGTAACACACCAAAGAAGGAGGATGACAGCACTGATGACAGCACCAACACCAAGAAGCTGTCAAGAAGAAAATCTATTGCCAGTAGGAATATAGCCAACCCTGTAAACAGTGTGGGAAAAAGGTACTGCAATTGTTCATTTATATCTCTGTCTGTGAGACTGTCTATGTATCTTTCTGAGACAGACAATGTAGGGCCTGAAACATTTGTTTGAGGCTAAAATAATGTCAGGGATCTGTTTTTATTTATTTTACCTGCAGTGTTGCGGCAGCACTTTATTTATAGTCCATGTATCAAAGGTCTGCTTTGGTGTGAGTTAATCATCCTGAAGCCAACAAAAAAGAATCAATTGAAATTCATAAACATGAATCTTTCAGCTAGGGACACATTTTCTTCGTACAGTCCTGACATTTGCTGTCCTTCCTTTCTGAGTTGTCTGTATCAGCTGACACAATACTAAATGTTTGAAAGCTTTGGCTTTTTGCTTGATTTGAAAAATATAGTTTCCATCTGTTTTGACAGCTAGCTGTTTTGATTAGCTTTTATTTTAGTTTTATTCCAAACTTTTGTTGTTAATTGATGACACAAATATAAAGCTTTACAGTAAATACTCTTGTCGGTTTTCTGGTCTGCATTTGCAAATGTTTTATAGTGTGGTGAAAGCTCCTATTTAAATGAGTAAAATTCTTGACTCGCTGGGCAAATTTGTAGCGTGCTAGAAAGTGTATAAGGAGATTGATGTGTCCTATCTGCAGTATTTATCTATGTTATTTGTCTTCAGTTTATGAAATTATGTTGGATGATCGTTTGAATTGTGCCTATGTGTAGTAATTTCTTACTTAGATGTTACTTACTTATTTACATGCTGCCTAAAAGACATAGGTTTTTGCTTCCAGAAGTATAGGCCAAACACCACAAGGAAACTTAGGAATTTAATTCTGAAATATAAGACAATGTCTTTGCACTGTAGTTCAGATGTAGGCATGTGTTGCAACTGGCTAAAGGACCAGGGAGGGCAGGCAGCCAGATGCAAGGTGTGAGACATCATCTACTACGGCAAGGATAGGAGTCTTAGAATACTTGAAAACATGAAGCTGGGAGGGATAGTATGTGCCTCCTGCTGAGAAGCTAAGCATAGTAAGGATGACTAAGCCTAACCCCTTGTTTTGACTTTGTGTGGCAGTGAGGCCAGAGCATGGTCAGCCGAAATTGAAGACCACATCACTGGTCCCAGTGTTGCTGGGATACAGGTTTTCGCAGAGTACCAAACATATTTTCTTTCTTTGCTGTACCTTCTTCATTCTGTATTTTACCAAGACGGCTTCATCCTTGTTCAACTTCTCACAGCTTTGCCTTCCAGTTCTTCTTTAGAGCTGTGTAAGTTGCTACTTAAGGTGATGTCTAACAACTCAAGCATGTTAGTTTTCCACTGGTGAAGGAAAGTAAAGATGCATCGAGGATTAATGAAAAGCTTTTAGCCTATGCTTTAAGCAGTCATATTTTGGTATTTCATGCACATGGACTGAAAGCATGGACATTTCAGTTGTCTGAAATGCAGTGCTGCGATGGGAGATAGGAACTGGTTAGGATCTTGGTTGAGTTTCAAAGCTCACTGGTAAGAGCCACGCTCAAGCTGCTTCACTACTTTGAACCCTGTCATTCCTGAGGTTTGCGGAAATGATGGGAAGTCGCAATTCCTGTTGAAGTCAGCATGTTAAACTCTTAACAGGTGCTAAACTCTTTGGAAAATCATGCCGTAAATATTAAATTTAGCAGTGGTACAACTTGAAAAGGTTTCTAAATAAACAGAAATCTGTATTTTCCAAAAGCAAATAAAACATGGTTATTTTTCCTCTTGAGAGCCTAAAGTACATCCTTAAGATGCGTAACAGAGTTTCCTGATGATGATTAGCAGATCTCAGGTACAAAGAGTTTTGCAGCAGAACACTTCAGAGAGGACTGGGGATACATGCAGATATGTGAGTTAAGATTTTGCATTCCCCAAGTAGGCAGTGTGCTTGCTTAAATAATATCAAGGACTTGGCAAACCATTACTTGGTGTTTGCGTTTTTATTCCTTACAGTTAGAGATTTATGACATACTTTTGATTTTTTTGCTAATAGTCTAAATGCCATGCCTTTTAAATGGCATGCATAAATTTCTGTGTTCTGCATTATTCTTATATGCCACACATTCATTGCCTTTGTTCAGCATTGTTCCTCTGAGAGGTGAATGGCTAAATACTTTTCCAGTGATACAAAAATCATGGTAATTGATATGCAATTAATAATAATAAAACACCTGAACATTGCTCATTAGAAAATGAGTGAAGCACATAATGTATCTTTATCCAGGAGGCATTTGCAGAGATCGTACAAACATTTTGGTTTGCAGTGATTTATAGTCCTGTGTGTTTATCTTTTTACGTCTTAAACATTTAGTAATCTGCCTTTGACAGCAGTAGCTCCTTGAATAACCATGCTTTGATCTGGTCCTTTAGTTCATCCAAGTAACAGATTTTAAAGAGCTACTGATTTAGCCCTAAACTTAATTAGAAGGCAAAAGTACCAAGTAACAGGAAACTTCACAGGCTAGGAAAGGAATACTCATTCTTGGTGATTAAAGCAGCACTCCTGTAAAGGTATAAAACTAGGAAAGTAAATTTATTTATTTTTTAATAAATAAATATCTTTATTACCTTCCTTTTGCAAGCCAAAATTTTATATACCTCACCAGGTTTGGACAGATAATGCAGACAAATTTGTTATTTGTTTAGAAATCATTTTCATACACAGGATGTAGCACCCTGGAAACAGGAAGTTGATCTTCATCTCCATCTTTTTAATTGCCCCTTGTTATAAAATACACTAGGATGCTATTTACTTATAGAGAGCTTCACATTATCCCAAAAATAATTGCTATCCTCAGCCAGATATGGTACAGTCTGTGTGGTTTTTCTTTTTTTAACATGGGATAAAGTAGCAGTTGCAGTGTTAATCAGTTAAATATTAGAAAAGCTTTTGTTTACTGATGTGATAATAGTAAGCAAGTTTTACAGTCTTGTAAAAAGTTGTTGATTTGCAAAGAGTTGGAATGCTAGGCATGGTCCCAGGAGCGTGCTTAAACTGGATATTCTTTCAGCTGGTGGTCCTTTTAATGTCGCTCTGTTGCTACCATAATCTCTTAATGGTTGCTTGGATTCCAAGATAATATATTTTATCATGTTATTTCATGTAAAATCCTAATTTTGTAATCTTGGAAATACTGGGTGTTTTCTGAAATTTTGTAAGGAAGGTACTTTCAAAGAACTATTCCAAAGATAGTGTGGGTATCTCCTTCTTAGACAGACATTATATGCATCAGTATTTTCAGAAGCAAACTGAACTTTTGAACAGGCTTCTTTACCACAAATGCTGTGCAACTTTTTGAGTTTTAGCAGAAGATGCTTTTCTCAGACACATATCCCAGAATTATACTGGGGTTTTACTTATTGTATCTGTCAAGATGGTAGAAGACTAGCAATGACAATGTAAGTCATTTTAGGAACTTTTATATTGTGCAAATGTGTTTTATTACATTTCTTAATGCATTTTTGTTCCAGTGGGTATCACGATTGGTGCTTCATATGCAAAAGCTGTTTCATTCTCTGTGCGTTCAAGATGTTGCATAGTGGATGTTAACCATAATAGATGTTGCAACTTTAATTTCAATTACCAGTTGCAGAGTTTATTTCACTAATGTCTTCTGTGCATCTGAAGCATAAGAATAATATGTTGGACTTCTACAAAAGAATGATTACCACTTTGAGCTACTTAAAACCTGAACTCCAGTTAGAGCTCTGCATGTGCTGCAGCTCTTCAAGTCCACTATAGAGCGGTTTTTAGAACTGGAAGCTTTTGGTTAGAAGCTTAATAATTTATTTTATATTTACTTGAGCTGAAGCTTACAACATTACTTGTGACGTGAAATGTGTTGAACCAAGGAAATGTGGGAACAAGAAAGCTTTCAAGTCACTACTTTTTAAAAATTTTAAGCCTATTTATTGCTATGTGCTTGGAATTGGTAATGATATCAGAAAAGACAGGATATATTATCAGGGGAGTAAATGTGTCAGGTTAATCTCCTGAAGAATTTGCCTTGTAAGAAATGCAGCAGGACTGCAAAGTACGGCTGAAGCCATTGTAATGAAACAAGGTTGTTCTGAATGTAAGCATATGAATATTATAATAGAAAACCAAATCATGCCTCGTATGAAAATGACAAAAGCCCTTGGTAAGGATCTCAGATTTTATTAGATTTGGAAATTCACCTCCAAATCTTCTCCATGGTCTCAGTTGTTTTTACTGACTACCCATTTTGCTAGTACGGCTCCACCTTTGCTTTGGAGCCATGGGATCTGCAAACAATGTGTTTGCAGTACCAGGGACTTGTTCTGCTGCTCAAGTTCCTGCCCTGAGATGCACACTTTCAATTAGCATCTGCTCTGGCTTCATTTTTATTGCCTTTTCAGTGGGTGTCATGACCCCAGAAAAATCCCTTTTATTATGACAGCATATGTAATACTTTTCTACAGTATTCAGTGTATCATTTTAACATTATAAGTTACTTGGTATTTTCTTGGTTCTAGTTGGAATCATGTTCCCCTGGGGGGTAAAATATGGGTAGAAGTATAATTTAGGTGCTTCGGATGAGCCTGATGATCCCGTGCTGCAGAAGGAGCCTGGGGAGATGGAGTGGGAGCACTGCCCCAGTGCTCCCCAGCTCTGACCCTCATCTACAGCTGGCCCTTTCTGGTGTCTGAGATGGAAATACTACACTGTAAGGTGGAAGTTTGTTTTGAGCTCATTGTCTTTGCTCATTAGTTTTGGTAACACTGTGGGAAGAATGGGGCATGGGGTTCTGTTTTTCACACCCAGCATGAAAACTTTCTCTTCACTTGTTGATACTGCAGATGACCAGCGGAATCTCTATTTCTTTCTCCTGGGGAATGAGGAGGGAAGAAGCCCCAAACTAGCTTTACCCTCACATGCAGGATCAATGATTATGATAAACCCTTTATTTGTAGTTTTAGGGTTTAGGCAGGTGGAAGTGTTTGCTGAGTGCCGTGCCACATCCCGGCTGGG